GTTCGATGTCGTGTGTCGTTTCGCGCGGTTCGCGGTTTTTGCAGTTCACAGGGGTGGACGGTTCCTGGCGGTTCGGTTCCGGTTTGCGGCTCGGTTCAGGGCCTTCCTGTAAATTATCAAACATATAAGACCGCATATTCATAAACAAGGTGAAGACAAAACAGCTGATATAATAATACTTCAAGTACACCGCCGACATACAAACGAATAAGCACAATAGAACATGTTTGCAGGACATGTGCAAGGAGGTAAGCAACGAAATAAGGAGACGCCAAAATCGCAAAAACGAATATTACATAGGCGAGGTAGTCATATGCAAGAAGCATTCGAAAACAATTACTTATCAACATCATGTTAATTTTCGGAACAGAGTTACTGAGATTAATAGTCGCGTGGTGACATCAAAAGAGGAGCATGCAGGAAATATACAAACCTTACCCGTTGATGTTTTAAAGAAAACCTTTTTTGGCTGTTAATATACTTGCCACAATGTGCAGGGTTCAAACAGTTCAAACATAAACGCAGGTATTACAACATTTGATTATCAGCGTTTTAACATTTCCAAGGAGTGGTTGTGGACGGCAATCACAAGAGCCACCGATTTCAACAAGGTCATGTTTTACAGGTATGATGATAAAAAAAGGAATATATTTAGCACACAATGTGCTTTTAATTATTCAGAGCGGAAGGTGCAAAATTACAAGGAACAGGACACATCAGGTAAAAGAAAAATAAACCACCACAACTAACTAACCACCCAGTGGCCTTTGGATAGGTTAGGCCGTTTCTGTGAAACGTGTAGCGCATAATTTAATGTGAAGATGACGAGTGGACACATAACAACAAATCTGACAGCCCAACGGAAAAATCACGAGCAAAACCATGCCAGAAGCATTTGCATAGCCTGTTGTAAAAAGTACAACTGTGCCGCAAGTGATACCGAGCAAGTTTGAGAATAAAAACACGTGAAAGTAGTGTGTATTCTCGTATGCGCCTGAAAGTTTGCATGATGCAATTAACGTGTAGCGACATTCATATTGAAGTCTTTAGATAATCAAAGATACATAAAAACATTTTTTCACCAGTTAAGCATACTAGCAACATGACAAAAACAAAAGATACAGCATCTCAAAACACAAGAAGCGCTTATCTAACAACCAAACACTGGAAACATTGCAAACCCAAAACCAACAACAGTGAAATGCTACGAACTCAAGAAGGAGGGCGACATTTATGAACAAACAAGTTAAATTGTTTACTTCTAATCTTTAAATATATGACCGTTCAGGATGAACTGTTTGAAGACCAATGCAAAATTGCAGAACGCGAATTGTAAACGTTAGAATTCATCAAAAATCAACAACAGAACCAATGAAATGCTAAGCGAAAAGACCACACTAACAGAAGAAGACACCAAACATGTAGACGATGAAATGTGTTTTTTGGGTGAACAATTTACATTACAGAAAGAAATCACATTTATGTGTGGCGAATTACTCGTTAAATTCTACTTAACAAGAAATATTGTTAAGTAGAATTATCAGGTCAAAAATCGTGAGCCACGGATTTAGGAGTTAGGGGGCAGTTTTGAAAGTGGATTTCGGAGATTCAGGGTTTCTGGCTGGATAAAATGCTAGGGCTAGTGGTGAGTATGTCAAATTTAGGGATTTTCGGTTGTAAAGTTGTGAAGTGTATGGGGGGGGCAGGGTTTTCCCTGAGGCGTTCGGGTATAAACGGGGAAAAGGGGAATGCCCTACCCTCACTGCATGTATGGCAGTTGAACTTTTTGCCTCGAATGTCTGTTGCACCATCGACCCTGCAGAGTGTTGCGAATGTCTATTCCAACGGATTGTAAGGATGGTTACAGGAAAATACATTGCAAAGATGTGCCCCGGTGCTATAGCAACCAGCATTCAGGTTTGGACATGGATGGGGACCACACCATCAGCGTCGAGGATTGAACTACAGGGTTCGTTAATGGGTTCAAATCGTTGGGTTGCATGCTTCAATCTGCCGGCTTGCAGACGTGAATACGCCGAACACCTGCGCTAGCCTTCACGAGCCAAAAGTGGAGCTGTTGGATCATGCTTGTGTTGCGCAGCTTTTCTGTGGCAGTCCAGGAGTTCACTGAGCAATGCGTGAAGTTGCATGGGCCCGCGCGTTCCGCGGACTTGTATGCGCTGAGACAATTGACGGTGCCTGGTCGAGCTTTTATGAAAAAATGTGCTACTGCAGGGGGAGATGTTGGCCGGACTGAAATGAAAGACCTCGCTGCACATGTGCAACGAATGCCTTGCTCAGACAAGGACAAGCACTCCAAGCAGTTGAACCTTGTTCTGGATTTCCAGAAGCGTGCCCAGGCAAATTATGAGTTAGATTCTTTAATCTCGTGCTGGGAGAGTTGAGTGCGGAGCAGAAGGCCTTTTATTGCAGCATCGGACTGTGTGAAACCGCTCACTCAGCATAGGCTCCGCTGAAATCCAAACTGCTGCAAGCTTTCCTTACCCAGCCCGTCCTTATCCAAGCTTAGCAGTGGAAAGATTGTTAAGCACAGGATACTGTGGACTGCAAGTGAGTTTGAGCCCTTGCATGTGATCCCTAGCTCAAGGTTTCAACAGGCGCTTGGAGCAGCTATCCAAAGGGGCGCCCCTGAAACGAGAAGAGGATGACGAGATAGAGGCGCTGCTTTTTTAGGAAGGGTTTTGCTTTATGAAGCTTCACTGGACTGGAGTTCGGGGTCAAGCATCTTTGGTGGCTGAGGTCCTCAAACACTGGCTGTAGTGCCATTGAGCATCTTGAGCAGCTTTGCAGCTCTGCCGTGAGCCGGATTTCGTGTACAGAAGGAACAGCATATCCCAGCAATTCCTTTAATGCCCTCTTTTCAGAAGAGGGGCCGGCTCAAACGTGTATTCACTGGAGCCATGTATCACAACCGTGGAAACAGCTTGAGTGTTGCTCAGAGCCGCAGTCCAGACCTACTGCGAAGGTAGTGTGAAGGAAGTCTGGCTTTGACAAGGTCGTCCACCATAGAGACCGTTTGCTTGCAGCAAGCTTGAAAGTTGGAGCAAGGGTGGTTACTCTTAGCCGTGAGTTTTTTGTTGTTTTTCCTGTTCTCTGCGGAGCACGCCGAGCCGCTCGAGCCTTGTACCAGTAATTGCCAAGTTTCCTTGCCAACGTGCGCAAAACAATTGCCTGCGCAAATTGTCCTGCCTACGCAGGAGAGCGAGTGTCAAGGAAAACGCTTCCTGCTTTCTTGTTGCCAAACGCACTTGTGGCAGCTTTTGTCCTTTTTTCAGCTTACGGAGTGAACCTCATATTGTTCCAGAACATGACTTGCACTTGAACAAGTGGTTGGACACTGAGGCTTTGATGTACATGCAAGAGCACGCGCTCCCAGGTTGGGTCTTGCTTGATTGCTTGCTTTCCTGCTCGGGAGGTGTTGCAATCTTACAGTTTCAAAGTAGCAAAAGATGTGAAGGAGCAGGACTGGAAGTATCAGATGCGACTGATGGATGCCTCCTTGCTGAAGCTTCGTTTGCTCAAAAACCATAGGCCACCACGAAGGGAAGGAAGGAGTTCCCAGGTTTGCTCCGCCTGGGGCATGGATGCCATGGAGCTGCCCCAAAAGGATACCGATGGCAGCGCTACGGTCGTAGAGGAGGTCCTGCGAATCCACCGGAGGGAGATGGCAGCTTTGCTCACTGACTGGCTATCCAGACTGGATGTGACACTGGCTACATCTCTCGTACCAACAGGCATCCGCTCCCCGAACCCGCAAGCCTATGGCATCCGAAGTTCCATCAGAACGGCTAGGTCCGGGTGGAAGCCGTCGAAAGCCTCGACAAAAAGCGGGTTCAGGCTCGAGGACGAGACCTCTGACCCAGAGTCCGCATTAGAGGATCAAGGGGGCTGTGTGATGAGCCCATCATTGAGCCCCAAAGCCGCGCAAACACCTGAAGACTCCATCGAAGAGGGCTCAGAAATGGAGTCTGCAACATCACCCATGCGGCCTGCACGAATGGACAGTGCCCTGAGCTATGAAGAGGCGAAGATGACTGATGTTGAGATCTCTAAAGCGTGGCACATGGGCCTCGGATCAGGAGGCCTCAGAGGAGCGCCACGCGCGAGCTTGACGTTGGGCTGGTGGAACAAGTTCCGCCTGCAAGTGGCAAATGCCATGAACTCTGAGAAGGCCACTGCATTTTGGACCTTCCTGATCCTCACCAACTCCATTTTCCTGGGAATTCACCTGCAGTGGAGTTCAACCGCCAGGGAGTCAACTCCAAACGACACATTTGATGTCATACATTTGGTGTATGCTGTGCTGTTTACATTGGAGGTGGGTCTGCGCATCATTGCCTTTGGACCCCGAGAATATGTCTGCAACAAAGATTGGAAATGGAATTGGCTGGACTCGTTTGTGGTAATCACGGCCTGGATCGAGTTCGTAGCAGATAAAGTAGCCGCAGGAGGCGGTGATATGCGCGGGACTAACACGAATCTTCGCATCATCAGGGTGCTACGCTTGGGCAGACTGGTACGTGTCATGCGCATCGTTCGCGTGGTGCGTTTCATCCGTGCCTTGCGTACTCTTGTGGCCTCTCTCATGGGAACATTAAAGTCACTCTTCTGGTCTTTTCTTCTCCTTTTCCTGGTAATCTACATATTTGGCATACTGTTCACAGATGTCGCACTGGATTTCGCCATGGAGAACAACTTGGCTGATGACAATTTAACAGTGGCATCTTGCTTGCAAACTCATGGTCTGAACAAGCAGAAGCCATGAGCAGGACCTTTCCTCCATATTTGGCGTGTAGGTGGGTACTACGATCTTTGACTTGCTGGTAAGATTCCTGACCAGGGCTTCTGTATTCGAAAAGTCCCGAGGTTTACTTTGGCAACCTCTACAAATCGATGAATACGCTGCTTGGCAGAAGCGCATGTCGGGCGTCATGAGGTGGCAGCAACCCTCCAAACTGTCCCCCATAATCAGGTCTCTGTCAGAGAAGTGGGAACATACGGCATGCCCAGCATGCGAGTCTGCATCTGCAGCCAAGGCTTTTCCGCGCCATCTCAAATGGTCTGAGCTGGGCGGAGGCTGCAGAGTCCTTTGCTCCAGCAGGCACAACTCCAGTTGCTGGGTGCTTGTCTCTCGTGTCAAGTTTGATGCTCCAACAAGCTTGGCTTGTGGTAAAATTTTGAGCAGGCCGTACAGGGTGCGAATGTCAAGTTTAGATTTCAAGCGGCCATGCCACCTGTGGCAACTTCAAGTCGTCGGCGCGTAGACCCAGGTAATTTCCACCTTGTGCTTTAATTCTGCTCCTGATTTCTCGTTGATATCATTCTGAGGACCATGATGCGTTTCACGAACTAGTCTGAGCTGTCGCCTGACTTTGGTTGTGTTTTGGGAGGTCAATTCTGGGTCCAGTGCTTTCACCTGTACGTGGCTTTCTGCCTGCTGGCTTTACTGAATGTGCCTCGGTCTTCATGTTCAACACATGCTGTTCTGCTTTTCGTAGTCATGCAGGTTTTAAAGGCTTTTAGAATATCCGCACTCAAAAACTGGCTGTTTCAGACAACAGTATGCCAGGTGAGAAAAAGTATGGTACGGCCGTAGCATAATTATAATAGTAGTAATAATAATGATAGTTATATTTTATAATAGTAATAGCTAGAATATTTAAATCTTGTCCTCGCGCATGAAGAGGCTTCATCTGGCCTTTGGTTAATGAAGGAATGGAAAAGAAAATGGAAACTACCATGTCACAATATACTTATAGGGATGATGTAGGGATTATATAGGGATTATTTAGGGGTTATATAGGGTTTATATAGAAACAATGGAAAAGAACATGGAAACTACTATAGTATATTGGGGGTTATATAGGGACTACTATAAGGATCCATTCCTTCATTGCTAGATAACCAAAGGCCAGTCATGTTTGTTTGTGGGCGGTCTGTCTTTCGTATGTGTGAGAACTTCTTGAAGTTCTTTGCCTGTGCTTTGCCCGTTTGGGGGTGTCTGCACCTCAAAGTTGTATAATGCGCCAGGTAATGAGTTCGTACATTCATATGGGTACAGCGTTTCTTTAGATGATGGTGCGCCAGGTAATGACTGGTGTTTTCTGCAACAGTGCTATCAAAGCCGCCGAGAACGATCACGACCTTGCGGTGCAGTCGTTGGTGCAGACAAGGAAGGAGATGCAAGACCAGGTTGCCCAGCTCTTCAGGACCATTGACGAGCGTGGATTGGGACAAGTGACTATCTCGGAGTTCGAGCGCAACTTCGACAAAGATGCGGTCAAGGCATGCAAATAACTTAGTCCTCCATAGCAAGACGTGCAGCTCGAATGCGAGCTTGTGAAGGGATTTGCACACGGCCAGTCATCAAGAACAGAATCACAGCTTTTACGTGCGATTCATTCATAACCAGGTTGCTACACACATAATAAATTGTGAGTCTCTGGCAAGCTCATGAACGCTCTAAACTAGATCTTTACTACGGATGGCAGATGGCCCATCATTGAAAGCGCTGTGCATCGGAGGCTTTCTTCGAAGTGTTGAAGATAGGCGCCGTCGATGCTTGGACTTTATTTTCCAGCTTGGACAAGGCAGGATCCTGGCGTCTTTTTCCTGATCAGGATGAGTGAGGATCCATGGTGCCGTGCCAAAGCGAAGCCCAATGGGTTTGACTGATAGGATTAGGGCGCGCGCACGGTAGTGTATTCTCAGCAGTTCGGCACTTGCCTGGACAGAACGTTTTATACACGTCTATGGCAACCACATTCTGGTTTGTCAGAGTGCTTGCTGGGCTGCGGCCGCGATGACAGGATGGCGACCACACGGTCAGCGTCGATGAATTTACTGAACGCTGTCACTTGACTTTTCTTAATCCGGCTTTGCTGGCTTATAGGTTCCTTTGGCATGCCCTCCCAAGCTGCACCGCTTTTACCAGGTTTGCAGCTCCATGGCCCTGCAAGGGCTGCCGATTTGTTTGCGATGAAGCAGCAAACTGCGACGCGGAAGCAGAAAGATGTCAACATCGATCGTATGTAGCATAGGTGGCACTGACGAGATGACGCGTCTTCAATTACTGTATCTGGAATTCTGAATTGTTATGCGAAAGATGGGGACCAGCGAATTACGCTGTTGGGTGCTGGCTGCTGTCGCGCAAAACATGACACCACTGAGGCAAAATTGGCAAGGCAGCTGCGAAGAATGGAGGAGCTTCAGGGTCGCCTGATCTTTCAAGTTGCTCAGTACCTGGATGGCAGATGGTAGGGTCTCAGTTGAAAGCATCTTGTCATACATTGTGGTGTTGTTCAGGGCATTGAAGGCTTGCGCATGGCTGTCCGCTTCACTTCAATCTCGTAAATGTTCATCAAGTAATTTCTGAACGTAATGCCCAAATCCATGGCACATCATGGCACGATGCACTTGCCCTCAATTTTGACGGACTTCCAAAGGTTTCAACCACAACTGAAACAAAAACAACAGTACTTGAACTACTGTAGCAGTCTTGCCGCAAGTGCACCGAGGATGACGCGTTCTATGGTGACTTCTGAGGAGGCAAACGGCATTGAAAAAGCTGAGCAAGTCACCTTCAAGTTCTAACTGGACCTCCAAAGCGTTCCAGGGGCGGACACCTTAGGGACGTTCACAGCCATCATTGAGCGATGCACAAAACATTTACTTCTCGCCAGCTGCTCCGACAGTCAGGTTTTTTCCACTTGTGCGCTTGCCAGCCTCAATGGCTTTGGCATCCCAAGTTTCGCGCAGCCACCTCGAACAGGGGCAGTTTAGTTGTACCTGCTAAAGCAGGACAACTAGAAACGCCCGGCTGGCACCAGCAAGCTATGCATGTTCAGAGATTTATGGAATTTGCCTACCGGGCCCACTGTGCATACTTCTGCGGATTATGGCTCCTAACGGACAGGAGGGTTCCATAGGTACCAGCTGCAGCTGGACTAACAAAGAAGGGTCACAAGGCAACGGAAAAGAACGTCTCACGCGACTGCGGCAGTGGTTTTGATGAGCAGTATGAGTATGTTGAACGTAGGGCAAGCCGGGTTCACAGTTGCTGACTGCCGAGCCAGCTGCTCGATGGAGAGAACCTACCATCAACCCAAGGCGAGTTAGGGACGCGGATGTGCATTTTTTTTGGCCGGGGCCACTATAGCAGAGATGTTGGATGTTTCCTGCTCTGCATTCGGGTGATGGTGGAACGCGAAGTGTTTGACTTCCTCTCATTTTGCTGCGAAGCAGCTCCACATCTCAAGTACAGCTGTAAGAGCAGCGTAGGCTTGCGCCCACCGATTGCACCTTACATTGCCCTCTTCGCTAACATTGCCAGCCCAGCAACGTGAAGATCTATCTGCCCAGAGACTCTCCTCGTTTTGCCTTTGCAGGCCAAGCAACCTGCACTTCCAAGGCTGGCCCACCAAAGGAAGTTCAGGAAGGGGCATGGAGTGCAGCCTTGACCCGAGCTGCCATCAACATTAGGGTTGTTAATGGAATGTCGATGGTAGATGCAGGGTTCCTGAGTTGCATGCAACCTCAAATATGTTATCTAAAGGAATCCTGCGCATACTCGAAACTACTGGCCAGGCCCCACTTGTCTTGGCGTCCTTGAATAGTCACTGTAGTGGCTGACGCTGCAAGGATGATGCTGATTCAGGGGATTTGTTGCATGTTGGGATAATCGTTGAAACGGTCAGTGACGTTCCCAAAACCATGCCCCGGATCAACATGAGTGTTTGCACAGCTGCTGACCCGCAGTCTTTCAGATCTCGAAGACTTCCATCAAGTTGACGAGTACATCGGAGTGCCCATTTGCTGTTTCTGAAGTGCTATCTCAAAAGCCGAAAAAGTAGAGATGCAGAGCAAGGTGTAGTGGGTGCCTTCGCGTGAGCTTGAAGCTGCACATGGCTAGCGAAATGGAAGTGCATCCTGCTTTGCCGCACCTCTTAGAAGATGCACTGCGTCTACACCGGGAAGAGGTCAATGTCATATTAGAGACATGGATGTCCCGACTCAACACGCAGCTCGCAGTATGCTGGACGCCAGCGGCGATGTCAACGACAACAAAATCTGAGGTACCTCTCCCAATACCTCTCCCGATGCATTCGAACGGCGAGATTGCAGCGAAACGCATTGTCGCGGAGATGCCCGGCTCTTTGCCAGCAGTGGGAGACGAACGGCCTGCGGTGATAAATCCGAGTGCAAATCTTGAGATGTATGCGCAAGCAGAAGAAACTGACAGCAAGGAGAACAATGACAACTCCAAGGAGATGTTGGGTTCGAGCACAGACCGTGCTGACAGTAGCTATATAAAAGCCAGGCAGACAGAGTTTCAGATCTCGCAGGCCTTCAACAAGCTTGGAGCCATCTCTTTTTATGGCAAGAAGCCAAGAGCGCTGAGCAGCTGGGAGGTCTTCCGGGCGCAAACGCGAGCTTTGGTGAGTTCTCAAAGGTCTAACTTGTTCTGGGCGCTCGTGATTCTAACCAACTCTGTATACTTGGGAGTACACCTGGAGTGGAGCGTCGATCACAGAGGTGAGTTTGACAACAGCATTTTCTTTGTTTGCATCTGGTGTATGCACTGCTTTTCACCCTGGAAGTGAGCTTGCGCATCATTGGCTGGGGGGTTTGGTCGCTTTTGTGCCAAAAGGACTTGTACTTTCATGGTAGAATGCTCCCTATATCTGTCAACCCATGCCATGTAATTGTCGACAGACGTTGTGAGAATTCATGGGCCCCAGTAGTCAAATCGGATCCCCTGTAAACAGCCTTGTCATGCTTGGTGAGCAGGAGTGGTATTGGAACTGGCTGGACTTTTTTGTTGTGATCTCTTCCTGGGTGGAGTTCGTGGTTGACCTCACCAGTGCAGAGGAGGAACAGGTCAGCAGGGGCAACAGCAACTTCCGTCTTATGCGACTGCTGCGACTGGGGCGTCTGGTTCGAGTCGTCCGCATCGTCCGCGTGGTCCGCTTGTTTCGGGCATTGAGGACGCTGGTTGCATCGCTGGCGGGAACTTTGAAGTCACTCTTTTGGGCGTTCTTATTATTGGGGCTGATCATATACATATTTGCCATCCTGTTCACGGACGTCGTTCTCGATCACGTGTTGGAATATGACGTGCCCCGCTCAGCGGACGATCCCATGCAGGCTGCTTGCAGTGTGCATGTTGCCCGTGGGAAGTATCCTGTGATGCAGGGCCTTGCGGCCTTGTGTGTGTTGTTGTTCAGTTCACATGCACATTCTGTGCTGACGTTGCTGTAGGACTGTAGTACGAGATGTGCGGCGCCAGCGAGGAAACCAAACACCACGGAAGCCACGCAAACACCATGACAAACTCAGGGCAGCCACGCCACATACTGCAGGGAAGGTTCTCGTGCCAAGCGTAGCCTTTACTTGACAATTACTGGGCTCAGGCGGCCACTGCCGCATGTGATGTGCTTGCTGTGATGGATGAGGCTGCTCGTCGCAACCGAGCTCAAAAGCCCTCAATCAGGATTTGAGCACCTCGCAATGTGCCAGGTGCTGATGTTGAGGTGATGAGGGTGTCATCTGAATCTGCATGGAATCCCTGAGAAACCAAAGTTTTTTTTTTGGTCTTACATCCAATCTTCACCCTTCGTTCCAGCAAGCATTGCAACCGAAGCATTGCAACCGAATACTGTGTTGAGTTGCTGATCTCTTGGCTATTCGCATACCTGCCAAACAGGCATTTGAGCACTTTCGGGCATGAGTAAACTTGCCCAGTTGTTGTTCCCAGCATTTCCCGGTGTCAGGAATATTTTGGCGACCTCTATAGTTCCTGCACGACGCTATTCCGGGCGATCTCGAACGGACTATCCTGGAGCTACGCCGCAGATGCACTGTCTCCCACAGGTCTCGGATATGCATCTTTAAGGGTTGAAAGTTGCAGTTGTGAATCTTTGGGTAGCTTGCAGCGGGTTGTTCCAGCCTCGTCATGGAATGTTGCTTGGGGCAATGTGCAGAATGATGCATTTCCCCATCTATCAGGTGAGGGTCTGCCAATTTCATCCTTCGGCTTTCCTTCCACCTCCTTCCTTCCCTTCTTCCCTCGGTCCCTCAGAGCCACTTTCTCCACCGCAACATATACCATTAAGAGGTCCGTGCAATGGAAAGACTCAGAACATCAAAAACCTTGACAGGAAAAATAGGGAGACAATAGGAGCCGAAATTCCCAAAATAGGAAATAGGCAATTGGCCATCGCAGAAAACAGGAAATGGATCAGAAAAACAGGAAAAGACTTGGAAAATAGTAAGAATATAGGACGAACAATAGGAAAAACGTAGCCTGCCACAAAGATTCCAAAACAAAATAGGAAAACATTAGGAACATATGAAACTAACAGGAAATTAGCGAACATGACAAAAATCGAAGATTTTCCTCATTTGCGCTAAGTTCCTCTTATTTTCCTATATATGTTCCAGTTTTATCTATTTTTTCTTATGTCCGCTTCCGTAGGTTTTTCCTACGACCTTCCTATTTTCCTATTGTAAAACGGGAAAAACATAAAGATTTCGGGAACTATGGGCAAAAGCGGGAACATTAGACAAACAATAGGATCAGTTAGGAGGAAACACGTAGTAACCAACTAGGACAACAATAGGAAATTAGAAAATGAGGACAATCGACGATTTCCTTATGTTCGCTAATATCCTATTCTATATGTACCGCAATCGGGGGGAGCGCTGTGCAACGGGCCTGGATGAAGAGTTCACATGCGGGAGGTGGTCTTGCCCGAGATCACGGAGGTGGCCGAGATTCTGGCCGGCTGCGGCAGACGGAGACGGCTCCAGGACACCGGGGCAGAGATGGCAGTGGCGACAGCAGTTTTGAGGGGCAGCTTGGGGGACAAATGGGGACAACTACAGTGGCACTGGGTTTCTCATTGGTGGCTTCTTGGGCTTTGATGCAGTCACGGCGGGAAATGCGCTGAAGGGTTTGGGGGGCAGCCAGGGCTTCTAGACTGAGGTGACTGCGGGCTTTAGCGCGCTTGAGCAGCAGGCGCTGGTTTCCATCATCAAGTTTCTCATGTCTGTGGTCTCGCGTTTGGCAGGCGGCTACCACCCAGTGAAACAACAGTTGGCACGCGTCAGTGGATTGCTCGATGTGCTGTGCAACGGGCAGATCGCTGACGAGGAGGAGCAGCAGCCGCCGTGGAGGCAAGCGGACGCGCTGACGCAGATGCTGCTTGGCACCATCAAGGCGCCTGTCAAACGTGATGGCGAGATGGTGGCGGAAACCTTTGCGCACTTGGACTATGGGACTGCGGGCTTTCTTTTGCCGCCAAGGAGTTCCTCACAAAGGAGGCTGGACGCAGGCGTCGACAGCGCCCAGGTCGGCAGTTCAGAAGTGGGGCCGGAATGTTCTGAAACTGGAGTCGGCCTTTGTGAAGGACGCTTGCGGCTCCGCGCAGGAGACCAGACTGGGCCAGTCGGCTGTGGTTGGGCCGATCCGGGTGCCGATCGCCAGGGCGGCGGAGGTTCTGCAGATTGCTGGCAGCAAAAGGTTGAGCCGGCGGGCCGCGACAATGTGGTCCCCTGCGAGGTGGAGTGGCTTGACGAGCTGGAGGGCGAGA